CTTCTCCGTCCTGGCGGAACTCTCTGCCGAATAACACCAGGGCCAGGCGGGATCTGATGCAATTCCACGGGGCCTGTAAGGCAGGCTTTTAGTTGAGGGCAACAATGGGAGACGGAGACTGGCACCCTCTCTTTCTTTTCTATGGCCCCCACATGCCCTGCCCTGCCGTGTGGGACGGTGGTGTGGCTGGCAAAGGTGGAACTGTATTGCCCTCTGGGGTTGGTTTAATTTACTGTTTCTGTTTGTGTTCTTAATTATACACTAATTGCATTTTTAAATGTTTTGCAAGGTTGTAAACCGCCCAGAGCCTGCTTGCAGGGTGGGCGATTCATAAATCCAATGAAATAAATAAATGAAACAAACGCGATTTCAGGAGAAGTAAGTGCAGAAATCCAGTGAGTCTATCCTCCATAGACATGATACAAAAAGCGTGGGGATAATAAGGCAAATAAGCTAATTGAGATACCCATTCTTATGTAATGTTACATATTATCAGGTAGAAAGTCTGCTGCAAAGGAGAGTGCTGGGATGGAAAGAGAGTCAAATTAGGATTACCAACAACCTGGCGAGCAAATATCCTGTCCCTTTAACAGAGGCTTAAAGTACCGGGTGATGTTATTTACTTCCATGCCATGGAAAGCTTCAGTGGCCCATTTCCTCACATTAGACCTCTGTTAAAGGGACAGGACATTCTTTCTCCAGGCCAGTTGAAAACCCTGAATCAAATGAGAACCGGTCCCAGCAGAGAAGGCTTTGCTTTATCACCTCTGTCCCTGATGCTGGCTGGTAGAATAGTTGTTGGCAGGATCTGCTTTGGGAGGGGAGGAACCAACAGCTGCTGGTTCCAAGGGTCTCTCCTCTTCCTCTGTACGAGGGCTTTCCGCCAACAACCACTTGCTAAGTGTTGGAAGAGGGACTACAAAGCCACATGGGCTGTGTGAGTCATAGGTAAGGTTGCCAGTAACCTGCAGAGAAACTGTCCTTCCCCGTTAATGTATGGAAGTCAACTGGTGAAGCTGTTTCTGCATGCAAAATATGTGCGGTACCCCAAAGTCAGGTCCCCCTGTTGGTGTATAAGTTTCAGCACCTAGCTCTCTAAGATCTACTTGACAGCTGACAGCTGTAATAATCTAGATTCAGCCAGTTTGGACTGGGCAGAGCTGAGGCACAGTCAGAATGAGTCAGCACTGTTCTGATTGGCTGGTCATGTGTATATAAGTAGCAATGTACCACTGTATATTTCCCCTTGATGGTGGATGGAGTCTGGCGAAGCACTTTGTTGGAGAGCTGTAAATACTGTAAATAAATTCCTGTATATAGTTACCACTGGACTGAGTAAGTGTGGTTTACAATTGGAAGCCTCTGGTGAGTGAAAGACTGCTGAGAGTGCAAACGTGACTGAGGTGCTGGTTCGTACTACCACACGCACTGCGCGACACCCCCATGCTGCAGCCTTCTGCTGTGAAGCAGGTCACCCTGTATCTTCTTTTATTGATTGTCTGCACAGGAAATCCAGTTCTGAATGATTGCTGTAGTACTACCATAGTGCAATACTCCCAACAGTGGGTGGATGTTGTGTAAGTTCATCCTTTGTTCAGCCAGTCTGTGAGTGTGTCTTTGGAGGGAATTGGAAACCTCAGATTGGAAGATGCTCCTGTATGCTCACTGAAATTTCAAAAGTTTTCCAGGAATGATTATCACAAAAAGATAATAGTGCATTAGTCTGGTCTGGAGGTATTGTTCCGACTACATTTCGACTTTTCTTCCTGACTTGCCATTTAGATTGACCTGCGCTACGAAGCGAGGAACCTGGAGCGTTTCCACCGTAATTTCCGAGATGAGGATTCTGTGAAATTCCCCATTCCGCTTTTCCCTTTTGTCACAAGAAACATCCTAGTGGAGACATTTGAGGTGAGAATGTTGCCATACAGCGGGCCAACTTCTGCATTCTCGGGAATGCTTATGTTCTCCAGGGCAGTGGTCCGGGTGAAGGAAGTGTATTGTGCTAAATGCACTGACCCTTTCACGTTTGTTTAGATTCTGCCTTTCTTCTTTCTTAAGTTCTTCAGTGAACTTAAGGTGAATAAACAAAAAGATTTCCCAAAAAACCTCTCAGCATCCCGCCATCTCAAAGTGACTCCCATCATCCAAGGAGCACAGGCCTTTGCCCTCAAGTGTACAAACTAAACAGACAGACCTTACAAGGGCCCTCAAGTGTACAAACTAAACAAGACAGACCTTACAAGGGAAGGGGCATGGAGGGAGAAAACAGAGGAAGGAGATCAAGTTGACCTTGTTGGAAAGAAGCAAGTATTATCATCCAGGTGGGACCAGGCAGGCCTTCCTTGCTTAGTCTTCTTGCTTTGATGGAGGTGATGTAGCCCTTAGACATCTGGCAAAGGCAGCCAGCAGAATGTCTTTCCTCTACTGTTTGGGGGAGCTGCTACACACCAGATTGTTCTTTCTTGTGTGTGTGTGTGTGTAAGGTGCCGTCAAGTTGCAGTTGACTTGTGACCTCAGCAAGGGGCTTTCAAGGCAAGTGAGAAGCACAGGTGGTCTTTCTTGGAGATCTCCCATCCAGGAACTAACCAGGGCTGACACTGCTTAGCTTCTGAGATTTGACAAAATCGGGCTGTACCGTGCTGGCTTCCCTCCCTGTTCTTTCTTGCAGGGAAGTAATTCTGTGGTGGATGGCTAGGGAAGGCTGTTTTTCAGGAAAGCTCAGGTCAAACCCATAACCAGAAATTGGATTGTATGGAGGAAGGACCATCAAAAGTCAAATTGCTAACAGCAGAAATCTAAAAAAAGTCCAATGTACATAAAGTTACTTTATTTAAATTGAACAGGATTTTGTGGGTTCCCACCTAGGCCTGGATTCTAGGGTGACCACTGACAAATGTTTCATTTCATATCCAGGAGCTTTGTTCAAAATATAATTGTCTGATTGTGCATTACTTCTGAGGAAACATGAATAAGATCAAGCTGTGACAGGCTTCTGAATGGCAGTAGTGGACAAGTGGAAGTGTCTCATTCTGAATCCAGTACAGGCTGTACGGTCTCCGTCCCAGGAATGTTACAGCATCCCTGTTACTTTCCAAAAGTAATGCACTATGTTCCTGAAGTATCAGGAAGGATTTCCACTGGGCCTCCCTGATTCCACTTGGTCTCTTTCAAAGGCAGCTGAACCAGTATCTCGGTATCTGCACACCGAGGTCAAAATGGCGCTGCGGCAGAAGTTAGCCAAGATGGGGATGGACATGCTGCTAAAGATGGTAAGAGGCCTTGACCTGTTTCTGCAGTCAACCCAATTAGCTTATCAGCCAGGAAGCTAGAAATCTGCTTCACATAATTCCAGTTTCTTTAGCCAGAAAACCCTAATGACGTGACTGGAATGAATGACTCGGTGCTCTTGACTTGCATGTTGTATTTTGATTATGGAATGTTGGCATTGCTGATCTTGATGTTGTTGCCAAGTTAGCAAGCTAATAGGATGCATGTTGTCTGGAAGGGTAGAGTTAGTAGGTTTTTGCAAAAATGCTCTTTGGATGGGGTCCAGCAGGATGCCAGAATTCCAGGCCCTGAGCCACTGAATGATCCGTCCAGATTTATTTTATTTCAGATGTATAGATATTGAAAATGTATGAATCTAATGTGTATGTTTTCAAATAAACGTTTAGAAATCTGAAGTAAATATACTGTGACTCAGAATTGGGCAAGTTCATATGCTCAGTCTGACCTCTCTCAGGTGGAAGGAAATGTCCTCAGTGTTGGCCACTCCACTTGGCAAGTGAGTCATTTGACGTCTGAAGCTGTGGGTGCATTGGTCATGGCTGGGATTCTCCATCCCACAGGTGTTTGTTGATAACTTTGTCCATGCTGACCTCCACCCCGGGAATATTCTGGTTCAGGGAGCAGAGCACGCGAGTGACACCCTTGAGGTCCGGACTAGCATGGTGGACCTGCTTGACACGCTGATTTTGGAAGTGCAGCCTTCACACTCCCCACTCCGGCTGGTGCTTCTGGATGCAGGAATCATAGCGGAGTTGCAGAGTAGTGACCTTGAGAACTTCCGGGCCGTGTTTACAGCTGTGGTACTAGGACAGGTGAGGCCTTCTACATTTCAGCACCCTAAAGAAAAAAAAGTCATGGCACTATAATTACATACATACTGGATTATGGATTCACTGGCTTATGTCCTGATGTGCCATGGGTTCGGGGCTCTTGGCTCTGACCACTCCTGGTGCATCCTTGGTGTCCACGGTGACATGGGAAGCTGCTGTGGGCTGGTGTAAAAATGAAGCTTCCAATTTCTTAAACGCGGTTAAGAGATGAAGAGCAGGCCATGGGCTTGCATGCTCCTGTTTTCCTGCTTTCTCTCTCCAGCGTGTTCCCCTGATCACTTTTGGTTGGTTGCCTTAAATGGCTGAGCGGTGCCATTGTTGGGCGCTAACCATGGTTAATGCTAAACAGCATTCTCCTCTTATGTAGAGTATGAAGCAGGTTTGCGAACATTGGTTATGAGAGAATTCTGGTTAGCATTAACCATAGTTAGTGTTGGTGCAAGCATAATATTAAATCATAGGAAACGTAAATAAAGGGAAGATTCATGCTGAAGAGAACTTGGAGTTGGCTTCCAGTCTTTGGCCCATGGTAAGGAGATCAAGAATAACTTCTATACTCTGCTTTTTGCATCCTGGCCCATTCTGTCTGCTGGCTTTTGTGCTGTGTAGTTGCTAGAATCATAGAATCACCGAGTTGGAAGGGGCCATACAGGCCATCTAGTCCAACCCCCTGCGCAATGCAGGATCAGCCTAGAATATCCCTGACAAGTGTTTGTCCAGCCGCTGCTTAAAGACCGCCAGTGAGGGATAGCTTACCACCTCCCTAGGCAGCTGATTCCACTGCTGTGCAACTCTTTCTGTCAAACAGTTTTTCCTAAGATCCAGCCGGTACCTTCCCATCCTTAATTTAAACCCATGATTGCGAGTCCTTTCCTCTGCTGCCAACAGGAACAGCTCCCTGCCCTCCTCTAAGAGACAGCCCTTCAAATAATGTGCCCCCTCAGCCTCCTCTTCTCCAGACGGAACATTCCTAAGTCCTTCAGCCTTTCCTCACAGGGTTTGGTCTCCAGGCCCCTAATCATCCTCATCGCTCCCCTCTGCACCTGCTCCATTCTGTCCACATCCTTTTTGAAGTGAGGATTTGGAAGATGGATTTGAATGGCTGACCTAGTGTAGAAGGACAAGGAAACTGGATCCTTCGCAAGCACCACCTGTAGGAGTTTTTCTCAGAAAGGGATGGTGTCCAAGCCTGCCTCATCTGCTTTTTGGTATGATCTACAGGGGGAGAGAGTGGCAGAGTTAATCCTTCATCACTCCCGAGCTAACCAGTGCAAGGATGTGGAGAAATTCAAAGCAGAAATGGCAGAGTTGGTGATGAAGGCCAGGAGCAACACCATAGCCCTGGGAAAGGTCAGTTGTCAGCCAAATGGTGAAGTGTGTCTGCTCTAACCTGAATGCACCAGCGAGACCCAGAACACGGAGACCAGTAAGAGGACACCCTGGTCCCCCCTCTAGACAGGTGGCTTCGGATCTCTTTATCTGGTGTGACTTTTATCTCTCCCTGTTTTGCCTAAATAAAAGGAATTTCAAATGAAAATATGATGTCGTGATTAGAGCTGAAATCCCCAGTCAAGCCATGAAAGCTCACTGCCAGTCACGTCCTCCTTGGGCCAGTCACGTCCTCCTCTACCTCGTAGGAATGTTACGAGGATAAAATAGCAAGGAGAGTAGAACGATGAATGAGCTACTTGGAGGAAGGGCGGGATAAAAATGTAACAATACGTATAGATTTTTAAAAATACAGATAACAGAAATAGCGAGGGTTGTCGGTCAAACAGAGATTTTTCCGTGTAGTCCGTGCCGATGTTCCCTCTAAACTGTGGAATCTTGTGAGCAGAAATTCTATTTTGTGAGCTACTGACATTAAAGTTGTGAGCAAGCAATTTGGCTACTGCATAAATTAGTTTGCTCTGGAGCCATCCTTCCTGAGCTAAGACAAAAATGTGTGAGCCAGAGGCTAAAAAACTGTGAGCTAGCTCACACTAACTCAGCTTAGAGGGAACACTGGTCCGTGCTTAAGGCCTTTGGAGAAAAAGTGGGACTGGGTGGAGAGGCCCCTCTGGGATAGACAACAACCTGATAGATGCTCTTGGCTGTAGACCAAAATACTCAAGACACACTGAATACATGTCTTTCTTTTTTTACTGTTCCCCACCCAGTCCCACTGCTGAATCTTATGTTTACTGTTCCTAGTTTGTTGCAGCGAAGGTCTCTTGACCAATGGCACTTTTAACCTTTTGCATTACAGCTCCAAGTAGTGAGCCTGCTGTCCAGCGTCTTCAAGTTACTAATGACCCACAAGGTGAGAGAGCAAATTCTTTCTGCTTCGTCTTCGGGTCCTGAATCACCATGTTGTCTAATAGTGGTCAGGGGGTGGTGGGGAACAATGCCAGACCCCCTCCCCTTTGCATCCCACACTGTGAAGCCAGGCATCCATCAGCATGAAGTGGGCCACAGAAGCCCACACGCCAGCCAGCTGATCAATGGTGCCTGGTCCTGTAAGCATCAGCCAGTCACTGACACCTGGCCCTCTGACAGTTGGCTGTCTGGAATCTCCACCCTGGGGGTGGAGACGGGAAGCAATTGCTCAGAAGGCATTACTGGTGTCTCATGGGTGTGGCCATACCCCCAGAAGGCTTCTGGGTAGAGGAGGGGGGGTTACTTGGCATTCCCTAGACCTGGTCAGGGCCTTTAAAAGGCTTGAGGGGGGAGGCCAAGGAGGAGGACAGACCAACTCAGAAGGGGGCAGAGCTGGAGGAGGTGAAGTAGGGTGGTGCTCCACACCCTCCCCTCTCCATCTGTAGCCAAAGGGATCATGGAGCAGGAAGGCTGTGGCCTGGGATCTGACAGTAGGAAACTTTGATGGCCGTCTGCTGATCAGTAGGACAGTGAAGGTGGGCCTCCCTGAGACAAGACAGAGATTTCTGCAAACTCGGGACACTTTCCAAGAGTGCAGAAAAATATTAGTTTATAGGTTAAGGGGGGGGGGACTCAAATGGGACGATTGCTGCCATTTGGTAGGCATGGAATGTTTAGGGCACTTAAATGGCAGATAGAAGGGAAAAAAGGAAACCTGAGGGAGCTAGAAGAAATCGGTTCTGTTCAAGCCCCTCCAGGATTCTGGTGAGAGAAATGTGGATCAGGGAGAAATTTCCCAATTATTTACCACCATCTGGGCATTTCCTTATTTCCTGTAATAGCCAGCTTCACCAGAAAGGCAGCTAAGGAGTTCCACTTACATACAAGGTCAGCATTAATGCAGACTTGGGAAACTCACTGGGTATGTAGAAAAAATTATTAGTTCATGCACAGAAAAAACCCTCTTTCCCATTGGCCTCGTGAGGACTGAGCATGTTTTTTGCCCTTGGCGTACGGAGGGCAGATGAGAATCATTTTTAGGGGGGAAGGGAGGGAGGGAGAGAGAAATTGATCTGTTGGCTTGAACACATTGGCCATTGGTTTGGCACATCACATTCAATTGCATAATCTGAGCCACTTGTATTTCTAAATGTATAAAATCCAAAGATTTTACAATGTGCTGCAAATGAGTTCATTTTAAGTCCCTTGGTGTTGTATTCTGAGACCACTTCAAAAGTGTAAGTAACCCCCCCCCCCCGCATCTTGTTCCTTCTCTCCATCTAAATCTGACATCATTCCAGATGACAACTCAGGAGGCAGGATTCAGCCACATATGTTGCAGCCTCTGTAAGTGTATGCTGCGGTTCCCAGGGTACTGGATGTTACACCCAGTAACAAAAGAATTCTTTTTGATTGCATCTTGACTTTGCTTTCCAACCAAAATAAGGCTGCCAAAGTAGCTTACAGCATTTTAAAACCAGTGCAGATGAGAACCTACAAAGGAAAGGTGCTTGTGGAGGGGGCTCTTAGTGAGATTTTGGTGCAGGCATGGCTGGAAGGATGCCTAGCACTGCCTTTTGTCCCTACAGCCTCAGCTATGACAGCTGGTAGCTGGGAAGAGGGAAACCCTCAGCTGCAGCAGGATCTGGGCAAGCAGCCTCTGTAAGTGTATGCTGCGGTTCCCAGGGTACTGGATGTTACACCCAGTAACAAAAGAAATCTTTTTGATTGCATCTTGACTTTGCTTTCCAACCAAAATAAGGCTGCCAAAGGAAAGGTGCTTGTGGAGGGGGCTCTTAGTGAGATTTTGGTGTAGGCATGGCTGGAAGGATGCCTAGCACTGCCTTTTGTCCCTACAGCTTCAGCTGCAGCAGGATCTGGGCAGGATAGAAGGAGGTTGTGGGCTTGGACTGTGGCTAAGTGGTAGACCATTTGTTTTGCAAGCAGAAGGTCCTGGGTCCAATCCCTGGCATCTCCAGTTAAAAGGACCAGGTAACAGGTGATGGGAAAGGCCCTGAGACCCTAGAAGGCCACTGCCAGTCAGAATCTGGATCCTGAAATAGGCTGCGTTTGTGAAAGAAATCTATCCTACCTTTTCCATTCCAGCTCCAAATGGCAAACTCACTTGCCTAAAATACCAGGGCTGGTTTCATCTGTATGGACACGTGGCATCCTCCTAAGTTCTTGATTCTGATTATATCCTTTTTGTGTGTATTTTTTTTTGTATTTTCTAACGTGTGTGCGCGCACACCTGGAAGTCATGGTGCCCTCTGGTGACTGACGCCTACTGGGGGCCTGGAGAATATTTAGAGAGGTGGCTGGATAAATCCTGCCCCTGCCTCCCGACTGCTGGTATTCCAAAGAGGTCTCCCATCCATGTATTTGCCAGAGTCTACCCTGCTTAGCTTCTGAGTCTAGGCTTGCCTGGGCTATCCAGGTCAGGGCGATTCTTATTATGCCCTTGTAGGTATTCCCGTCCCTTTTCAGCCCCACTCTCTCCATACCCGCTGGCATTTGGATTGCCTGCTTGCTTGGCTGCACACTCCTCCTTCTTTTTGCCCCAGTAGCATTGCAGGTCTTTTCACTGTCACATCAGGATAGAGAAAGACGCCAGGTAACAACAGTGGAGATGCTGAGGGGTGGCTTCGCCTTCGCCAGCATCCATGGTTATGGGAATGGACTGAGGAAAAGCAAGTTCATCTCTGGCCTCTGCCCCTCTTGCAAAATCACCTTCCGTTCTGCATGACTGTTGGTGAAACTTCACATTATTACTGTCAGTGGGCCATATTCTTAAGACTTCTACCTAAAACGACTTTAGCTTTTGCATTTAATGTTTGCGACCCTGTGACAATTTCATACGACACTTGCTTTGTTCGGCACAAATGTATGAGTCTTGAAAACGTGCCCTTTGCCGAACCAGTAACAAGCTCCCTTACTTCTCTTGTCTTTGTGCTTCCAGGTGAAGCTGGAGAGTAACTTTGCCTCTGTCGTATTTGCCATTATGGTGCTGGAAGGCCTCGGCCGCTCGCTGGACCCTGAACTGGATATCCTGAAAGCTGCAAAACCTCTTCTCGTCAAACCTCCACGTTCCCTCCTGGAGTAGCCGGCTCGTATGTTTGGTACAGAAGGTGGAAACAGTCTAAATATGGAAGACTCTGCTGAGACTTATTACTCAACCTATTCATATCCAGATAGGCAGTGTTCTGGTGCTAAACCCTTTCCACTGGGTCCAGGTGTTTGGATGTAATTGGCGCAGTGCACTATAAAAAGTCAACCAAAACCGTATGTCCATTTTTAGCTCTCTGTTAAATAGGTACCACTTCGGTGGGAAGGTAACAGCGTTCCGTGTGCCTTGGTGTTTAGTCATGCCGGCCACATGACCACGGAAACGTCTTCGGACAGCGCTGGCTCTTCGGCTTTGAAACGGAGATGAGCACCGCAACCCTAGAGTCGGATTCGACTGGCTTTTGAGCAAGGGAACCTTTACAACGGTAGACTGTCAAGTTGGTCTAAAAACCATTGGGAACCTAGAATGTTAAAAATGTCATTATGGTACTCCATTTTGCCTTAATGACAAAGCAGTGGCTTCTACCCAGCAAGAGGGCAGGGAACAGAAATAGGTTGTTTTTTACATATGCTGTTGGTGGATGTACTTCTAACTGCAACAATCTGTCTTGGGAAAGACCGGATGTATTAATAAACGGTTTGAAGTGGGAAGAAGCTCTCTGTGTGGATGGTGATACCTAGATGGGAAGGACAGCAGGGAACAGTTTCCAGGACATTTTAGGCTGCCTCAAGGGTGCCTTCCCCTTGCGGAAGCATTGCTACAGCTGGAAAATATTTTCATTCACAATTCCATTGTCATATTTCCAGCACCAGATTTTGAATGGTGAAACATTCTTGCCACTCCCAGTTTCCCTCTTCCCTCGGCATCCCTCCGGCTTCTTCCTGCAAGCGGCCATTGAGAACTTAGGAAGACAAGTTATTTGGCTGTGGGTGGGGGGTCCAATACCTTCTGCAATGGATGAGAGGGTCTGGCTGCCTCTGGCTGCACACAGTACTTGAGGGAGGCTGCTATTTGGGGCACAAGAATAATCGGGACTAGACAAGTTCAAGCCGGGTAAGAACCCTGGGTGAGCCAATTCCAGGCCGTGGGCCATGTGTTTGACCCGTCTGGCATGGTCTGCCTTTCCTTGTGCAAGCATGTGGCGAGGGCTGGGACCCTCAGGATGCGTCCTGTCCGCCTCCCGTCTTCTTCCCAGGAGACGGTGTAGTTGGGAACTCCTTTCCAAACAAGAGACAGAGGAAGCATGCCACTTATGAGGGGACTTTCAGGGTCATCCCACAAACACTGTCCTGGGAGTAAGTTCCATTGAATAGACTTGAGTAGGACTTTGAGTCTACCTGCTTGGGGTTTCCTTCCTAAGTACAGCATCTGGCTCCTGAACTCTTGCACTGGCATATTGGCCTGCAGTACCGAATTAACATCCTTCTGACACCTGCAGAACATGAAGATTTGTGACACCCTATCAACAAGACACAACTGTGAATAAATGGCATCGAAGCATTTATTTGTTCTCGCACCAAAGCACAGAAAGGCATGGACATGTGCCTTTTCAGGCTGTGTACCCACAAAGACTTCTCTAGAGTGACGGGAGTGACTTCCCCCTCTTGCTGCCGTAAGTCTAGTTTTGATCCAACAGGAGCAGGTTGGTAACAACAAGCATGATGAGGGAGGGGAGAAAATTATGGCGGGGGGGGGCACCTTATTAGGGAAGAGCCACTTGCACTGCAATGAGTTTCTGGCATTAAGGGCAGGATTTTAAAACACGATAGCCAATGTAATCCCTACAGAAAAGTTCCAAGTGAGTTAAGCAGACATGCGGACCTAAGCAGAGTTAATTCAAGGGCAGGAAGGGAAAGGAATCCAATGACAATCCCTAAAAGTGTGCCAGCATTAATGAAGGGCCAGTGTGGAACCTCGTGACAGGTACAGTCACTGCAACAGGAAGGTCTGTGAACGGCAGTGCGCATGTTGTGCACTGAGAAGGTGCCAGTGTTAATCCCCGGAATCTCCAGCTGAAAGGTTCTCTGTAGCAGGACTAGGGACATCCTTACTTCGAGAACCACTGCCGATCAGAGTAGACAATGGGGCTGGAGAGCCAGTGTGGTGTGGTGGTTAAGAGCGGTGGACTCTAATTTGGAGAGCCAGGTTTGATTCCCCACTCCTCTTCCACAGGAAGCCTGCTGGATGAACTTGGGCTAGTCACAGTTCTCTCAGAGCTCTCTCAGCCCCATTTACCTCACAAGGTGCCTGTTGGGGGGAGGGGAAGGGAAAGGTGATTGTAAACTGCTTTGTGACTCCTTGAGGCAGAGAAAAGCAAGGTAGAAAAACCAACTCGTCGTCTTCTTGGACTGGCTCATGATAAGGCCATGGGGGGGAGGGGGGGACGGCTCAGTGGTAGAACAGACCCTGGAGAGCTGCTGCCAGTCTGAGTAGACAATACTGAACCTGATGGACCAAGGGTCTGATTCAGTATAAGGTACCTTCCTGTGGTCCTGTAGTGCAGTTCCAGGGACAAGCTATTGGGGAACAGGGCTAGAAAAGAATGTCTGCCCGAGACCTTGGAGATATGTTACTGTCACAGGAGGGAATACTGGATTAGATCCAGTATCACCAACCTTTTCTTTAATGAAATCTACTGCAGTGTAATGAAAAATATCCTGAGCTCCCCCCCACCAGCATTTTACCAAGTTTTATCCTGTCCTAGAAAAAGAACATGGTCTAGGAACACCACCAGCAATGAAGATACCAGCTAAGCAGCACAGAGAAAAATTCTGTGAAATCTACACTTTTGAAAAAATGGCCTAAAGCAGATATTCTTGTGATATCCCCCCCCCCCCGGGTGTTCTAGGGGATGCACAAACTACACTGCAGTGGCTGGTGAGCTACCTACAGATGACCCCTGGGTTAGATGTGCCAATCGTTTGAACTTCATGTTCCCAAGACACATGCCTATAGATACAATTTGGCTATGATCTGGGGGGTTTGACTTTTCAAGACGTGCATCATGAGAACCCAGCAACTGGGTTTGACTGCAGGCAGGGCAGGACACAAGAACATGTCAGCAGTGCAAAACATGATGATCCACAAGACCACCTTCTCAGGTTTCTCTAAGCCAGGGGTCCCAAATGTGGTACCGACGGGCCCAGCAGCACCAGCCATCACACTACTCGACATTCACCGTTTTCAGAAAGTGGGTAGGGCCAGGCGAATACATGAACCTATGAAGCTGCCTTCTACGGAATCAGGACATTGGTCTATCAAGGTCAGTATTGTCTGCTCAGCTCTCCAGGGTCCCAGGCGGAGGTCTTTCACATCATCTACTGCTAGATCCTTGCAATGGGAGATGCCAGGGATTGAACTTGGGACCTTCTTCATGCCAAGCAGATGCGCTGCCACTGAGCCACGGCCCCTGCAAAGGGGAGCTTTTGCCCAGCACGGTGCCTGGTAGGCCAATGGAGTTTTGACTGGCTGTGCAGATTTTTAAAAACTGGCTTCCGTGTCAGCTGCCGCCAGTGTTGGTATCATTCTCTCTCTCCTCTCTTCCCAGCCCATACTAAAAATGACCCTTCTCCCCTCCACTTGGACTTCCTCTAGGTGCGTATACAGGTCTGCCTCCTGTGGCAGCCATTTTGTGGTTGTGCCCACCACCCTGTTTCAGAATTCCAGAGATACGCACGGGCTCAATAAGGCTGGGGACCCCTGCTCTAAGCCATGATCTGTACACAGCCTCGGCGGACTGTTTCACCATCCTCGGCAGCGTGTTGAATGGCACCTGTGAATGTTTCCAGATCCGTTTCCCAGAAGTTCATTTCCTGAAATGGCAGGGTCTTCATGAGAGCAAAGAGGCCCGGAGCATCAGGAGGCTCTGCTCTCTGAGGTACTGTTGGAGGTCCTGCGTTTCCTGTCTCTTCTTTTCTGCCCGCCGAGAAACCAAGTCTCGCTTCTGGAAGTCTCGTAACTTGGCAGCCACCTTCTTCTCCTTGGTGTCCTCTTCCTGCCCAGCAGCTTTCAGATTCTTCTGGACGGACTGCATCCTGTTCTTGAGCAGCTCCTACAAGAAATGCCGGTAAAGGAATTTAAAATGTTGCATGTGTGTAGCTCTTCATCGTGATGATAAAGAGCAGAAATGCAGTCGACAGAGATCCGAAACAACAAATGTTCCTTAATTGCAAGGGCAACTAAATGAATAGATATTTTGTGATTTTTCACAATGTTTTCTAAGATATAAAGCTGGCGTTAGCATCCATCAGTACTGGGAGTTTTCAGTACTATCCTGAAAACTGCAGGGTTTTTTTTTTTTTTAAGAAGTTGCTAGTCCTTAAGGTCTGAAAGTGTTTGCACAGTGGCTGGTGAAAGAAGCTGGCAAGTGGACATTCCAAAGATTAACAGATTTTGAGTAGATATGAAACTGCCTTAGACTGAATCAGACCCTTGGTCCATCAAAGTCAGTATTCCCTGCTCAGACTGGCAGCAGCTCTCCAGTTGCCGCGGGAGAGGCACAGGAGTCCCGTGGATTTTCCGGGCGCGATCACACCCCAGCATCTGGGAAGCGCAGTGCTCCCATGGCGAACCTGTGGCTCCCTGCTGAAGGTGCGGATTAAAAAACTAGTACTTACGAGGTACTAGTTTCCGGAAATCGTGGGCCAAGGGCGGGCATCTGATCGCGTTTCCGGTGGACTTACCTGGCATCCGGCACCCATCTCTGCAGGTTGCGCAACAGCGCCCAACAGCGCATGCGCACAAAGAGCGATTGCTAGTGCGATCGCGCAGTGCGACTTCTGTGCCACGCTGCAGGATACCTGTCTGGTCGGCATCTCCCCCCTAACCATGGGACCTCGACCGGGACGTGTGCTCGGGCGGCCGCGCATTAGTTTCCTCCAGGGCAATTAGCCACGCCTCCCCCCCCCCCGCGATATCTGGCTCTTGTGACCGGGGCCTAGTAAAGGTTTTTCACATCACCTTCCAGTTGATCATTTGAACTGGAGATGATGGGGATGGAATCTGGGATCTTTTGCATGCCAAGCAGATGCTCTGTC